CCTGTGGCCCTGGTTTTGAAGCCCCGATCCTCGCCTGTGGCCCCGGTGTCAGATCCCCGATCCTCACCTGTGGCCCCGGCCTGAAGCCCTTCCAGAACACATTCCTGTCCATTACGATGGAGAGCAGGAGCCCTCCGTCACAGTAGTGCCGAATGTTCCCTGTTGCCTCAGTATGGATCACCCGGGAAACCTGAAGAGGATCAAAGCGCTGTCGACCGGGACCGTTATCGCATTCCCCTGCGAGAACCGCTGACCTTATAGTCGGATACCGGATTCTTTCCTGCGGAACGCAAAAGGGAAAAGAGCCCTGCCTAGAAAATGAAGAAAGAGGCGGAAAGTCACATTTTTCTCTCTGGTTGTCGGCGGTGACCTTTACAAGGCCCTGGCGGCGTGGGGGCGTTGCTCTTTCTCGACAGCCGCGTGCTCACCTTGCGCGCAGCGGAAAGGGGGTTTCGTTTAGCGGGAGGAAGGTGGCGGCTCGGCTCTCTCCCCCCTCCCCCCCCGTCCCCCCCCTCCTCGCTGACATCAGACAGCCCGAGTCAGAAACTTATCTTCAAGATCTGCAAAACTGCCGGAAAGTGAGGTGGAATCGTATTGGTGGGGGGGGGGGGGTTGATTTGATTCTGGACTTCTAATCTCCTGCGATCATCTGCTGTTTGCCTTCTTTTGGACTGGATGCGCTTATCGTGAGAGATTGTCTACACCGAGGTGACATGCGTGACTCATTCTCGCAACGCTTCTCTCCGAACGTCTGTGCACAGACGCATGTTGGGCCAGCCCAGAATCCACCGATGCGGATCTGGTGTTAAACTGCAGCGCAGAAAACGGCATCACGGCTCTTTGCAGACGTTCCAAACTGTCCGTGTCGCCCTGGGCTGTAATCATTTTTCTCAGGTCCTTCTCTTAATTGCGTAGGTTAATGGGCCTCAGCCCCTGGCAGAGGGGAAAAGCTCGTTAATGCTTGGCTGCTCATTTGCTTCCTCCTGTCGTATAAATTAAAAGTTTTTTTTAATTGAAAAATTGATCCGTGCGGAAAGAGAGACTTGTTGACTGAAGATGCTTGATTTACGAGTTAAAGTAATGCAGTGTAATCATCACCTCAGTCTCAGAATGTCCTCGTTAAAGTAGAATCATGGTCATTGGCTCATATGTATTTTTGTTTTTTAAAGTTACAAGGCTGACGGCGCCATGAATGTGCTGTGGTTAAGAACATTCATGACTTAATTAGCAAGACATAATAGATTCATTGTGCGTGTTTCCCCTCCAGTGAAGTGTGATCCTTATTTAGTGGGGAGTTTTCCAGGTCTCGTTAAGTCAGAAACCAGTTAAGGCTTAATTAGACCCATTTCATCCTTTAAAAAGACTTACAAAAGCTGGTGGACTGCTGACTCTCATGACTTGGAGAGTCCAGGTGAAGGTCAATGAGACTGTTCTAACAGTCACAGGTAACCAGTACGGGGAGGCAGACACAGGAGTAATGCGACCATATGTGTCAGTTGTAATTAAATTCTTAATTTTGCCTGTATTGCATGCCAAGTGTGTTAGCGGAATTACCAGCAAGCAAGTCATTACAGAGGTGCATTCCAGATCAACAGGATTTATCAGCTTGCCCACGTAGGTCACGTACTGTAGATCTGAAATGAGCAATTTTAGGTAAAGGAAGTATTATCTGTTTTTTTTTTTACTGGGGTCTTTAAAGTTCAGCAAGCACTGTGAGAATCTTTTGCTTGTGACCTGTAATTAAAAAAAAAACAGGTCAGTTCTTAGTCTTAAATGTTAAGCTTACTGTCGTACTGTAGTTCTTAACATCGGCACAACAGGGGCAGTAGATGATACAAAAAATCAGGTCAATCTGGTCTTTTTTGGGGTGTAGATTTCGACATCGTGGGGCTTTTGCATCTAGAGGCGATAAACCTGCAGAGCACACTGCCTTTGCAGCAGCAGAGAAACTTGAAATATAACCGCATCTGCACTGGTGACTTCCTCCACGGGTGTGTCCAGTGTGCAGCAAAGCTCTTCCGTGCTCCTGTGGGGCTCGTGGGTGAGTCCACATGACATTCAGGATCCGCTCGGGGGCAGTGGCAGCTAGGGGTGGTCTCA